GTCTACCTCCCCGCCGCGGCCTAGACAACGTAAATCGGCCGCGGTCGACCGTCCATTCTACCTGAGGTTGAACAAACGTGACGTTGTGAGGCATGCCACTCATGCTTCCTCACTCAGCTCCCGCAATTGGCGTACTCTTGTCGGACACAATGGAGCTCCGATCTTGTGTCTAGCCGCTTGTCTTGCTCATGGACTGGTTGCATCGGGCGACAAGAATGGGCGGATAATCGTTTGGGATCTGGCCTCCGGCTCTTTTTTGCATGTGTTAAGGTCCCTGCAACCCTCTCCTAAATCACCGGTGGAGTCGCCACTATTGGAGCCAACTTTGGAATCTCTCGACACTTCGTCCTCTTCCTCGTCCTCCTCCTGCGAGGATGGCAATGATGATTCTAATCCAGAAGCCGAACTCAGTCGCTTCGTCGAAGTCTGCGGACTTGCCTTCAATCAGCTTACGGGCGACCTATTGACCGCCAGGTCCAGTGTTTTCGGTCGGAAAGGTTAGTGTCTGAATGCACTTTATGCTTTCCCCATTGCTCATTCCTTGCTAGCCGCGCATCTCACGCTCCCCACATTCGCGGTTGGGTCTATCGCAGTGTATTAAGTTAACAGGGAAAGCCCTTGCCGGTACGATCTTCAGGCCTGGTTTCTTATGCGAAGAGCCACTTTGTTGTCTGACAGACACATTCTGATTGACTAACCTCTGGGCACCAGTGGTATTTCCCTCGTGGCTTTTCCGCGCATAGTCTTCGTAGCTGACACTGTTCTGCGTCGTGTTGAGGCCCTGTTTGGGATGGTGCATCGAATCTTAGATCGCCTTGACAGTGTGCAGTAACATATCCTGCCGATGCAAAGGAAAATGCAGGTCTTAGAAAGTAGATGCGACAGCAGCACAAAGCAGTGACGCCACTTCGTAAGTTTCGGGGCTCATTCGACGAGATCCGGTCACACAGTTACGTTCGGTGAGGCCGAAAATCTCGCAAGAGATGACAATCGCGTGAGTCACTTGAGTCAGGGCTTACGAGCTGCTAGTATATTAACAAGTGCAACGACCTCCTCAGTTCATATTCGACGTCGAGATTTCGTTTAGCAAAAGCAATTAGCCACTCGGGGAACGCGCAGGCGAACGTATCTTCGAACGCCAATGCCGACCGTCGAGCCAGGTGGCCGAGCAGTCATCAAACTAAACTCCAACACTCATTATTAAATTTCAGCAGATAACGAACAGCATGCTGGCCATCGAGCAGCTGGTGCACCAGAGGGGAACTTCTGCATACGGCTCTCCTGACTGGGCTGTCTCTTGGCTTGGGGACTATTTCACTTCCCGCACTGAATTCGTTCAGTGCGGCAAGCGAAAATCCACGGCCCTTCCCAACAATTGTGGAGTTCTCCAAGGGTCTATATTATCCCCTCATCTCTTCTCCCTCTACACTGACGACCTAAGATCGCCAAATGAATGTTTGTTTGTTAAATATGCTGATGATCTGGTTGTTGATCATCCTCTTAAAAGTCAGACACATCTCCAAGTACTGAAGGATGACCTGAACCACGTCTCAACACGGTTTTCAGAAAATAACCTGCTTAACGAGTGGAAGTCAGTCCAGTGTATTTTTCGGCTGCGATCCTCTCTTAGTCCTGAAACTATTGACATTCTGCCCAACGAGCTATCCTCTTTCCGATACC